TGGAAATAATAAGCAGATCTAAGTGAGCGAAAAGTGTTCATTTTGTTTTGTGGGAAGTTGAGATCACAGACCGTTAGGGGGTTAGAGTTGACAGACAACAGCAATACTCTTTTCACACTCCTTGACACGTAATGGGAGTGATTTTTCTCTCTACATCTCTCCCTAGTGGCCCTGATTTGCTCATTACATTGATGTAGGGGGTATAAGGGAGGGAGGGGGAAGTGTAAAAGGAAGAAGAGACTAATAGTGTGAAATATAGTGCTTCAAATTCACTCTCATTTAGTCTGAAAACAGTATGGATGTAGCCCACTTATTAAGTTGTTTAACAACTTGACAAAGAACAAAGAAATCCTCTCTTCAAGGATGAAATCTTGAGGAATTGTTTGCAAGCTACTACCCCTAAGCGGACACACCTTCTGTGTAAACCTGCTCCTCGATCAGGGACATCTACATTTAATTAAGACAGAATTAAAGAGCATTGTTATTTTTGATTAAAGGCACTGGTCTTGATTCCCCACTCTACTCTAGTGCTCCTGAATCTAGCTTAGGGTTTAATTTCATTTGGTTTAGTGCGAGTGGATCAACATCCATCTGTATTGCTCAGATGCAGATCCCGCCTCTCGGGGGGCCATACTTTAAACTCCAGCACAATCAATGCAATATGTGCACGTTATTGCCCTGTATGTGCTGTGTCTTGCTATAATAACAGGATTTCTTTAAAGGTTGACACTCATAGTTGCTGACCCTGATGTTGTTCTGGAACAAACTCCCAGAAACCTGCAGGTCCGCTGCAACTCTTACTACTTTTAAATCCAGGCTGAAGACTTTTCTTTTTGTCGCTGCTTTTAATTGAACTATTCATATCTTAGACTGCACTGTAACTTTTATCCATGTACTTTTTCTTTTAATGTTTAATTGCACTGTAACTTTTATCCATGTATTTTTTCTTTTAATGTTTATTTTATTAGCTTTTCTTTTTAATGACTGATTTTAAATGCCATTTTCTTAATCTCTTTCATTTTTTGTAAAGCACTTTGAATTGCCTTGTGTTGGAAAGTGCTATATAAATAAACTTGCCTTGCCTTGCTTATTGTGTAACTCACCTGACCAGAGAAGATCAATGGAATTGGTCCAAAACCAAAATAACTCTTAAGTGCCTAAGGGAGAGATACTGTTTAATGCAAGACTTGGAAAGAAAATTAATGCAGACCAAAGACTAGACTATCCAATAAAATGTATATGTGGATGGCTGGACATGGAGGATTTTGCAGTGTCATGCTGTCAGTAGCTTGTGGGTGATGTTGTTTGCAGAAGCTGTGATGTTGTGGCGTGTCTCTGCACTCTGTTAAAGCTCCATCAGTCAGGATGAGCCGACAACAAACGCAGCGGAGTCATACAGGGTCACACGAGGCCCGAGACAGCATCACTCACCTCAGCTGTCCCCCGGCTGTCAGTGTGTGATTGTAGGCACACTACCCTGTGGTACAGAGGGAGGAAGCACCAGTAATTAATCACTTCATTGGAATAATCACATAATTGATTATTAACCAAACCGGAGGTGAGGGTGAGAGGAGAGGGGTGAGACGAGGGAAACAAGACTTTTAGAAGGAGAGACATGGGAGATGAATGAGAGGGGATATGAGTAGTGGGGTAAGGGGTTCGTTCTGGCAGGAAGCGTTGATGAATAGCTCTGCATTGAAGTCTACCTCTTTGAGTATTAATCTGCCAAATCATGTCTCCGGATGAGGGATAGGTCGGGTGGACAGGGGGAGGCCACTCGCTGAGAATTGGCTGGGCAAGGCTGAAATAGTTGTTGAACGTGCTATGAAAATGCTATTACAAATTTGCATACCATATGCTCAATATATTTCACAATACCCAGTGGAAATATGAGAGCGAGATGCCCTCTTTACCTGTAACACAATCACAAAGTTGCCTACATTCTTCATGACATTTCAAAATATCATGCAGCAATTTCAGCCAGTCTATTCAAATGTGGACGATGCTGACATTTTAATCCCAGGGAGGAATATACAGACGCTGCTGTGGAAATCATTCATTGTCCATCTCTGCTATCAACACTTTTCCTTAAGCTACCATGTGATTTGAGCTGTCAGGGGGTCTTTTTTGGACCTTTGGCTTACATAGTTCTGCCTGGGAGGCTTGATCTCTTCGCCCCTTTCCTTGTCACAACCCGCAATCAGCCTTAAGCCCTTTTGTGTTCTCCACTCCGAGCTAAGCCTGTTATCCTGTGAAACTCCTTTACACAAGATCACTACTATATCCCCCTTTTCTGTCTTTCACCTCTCTCACCTTGCCTCTCGTTGCCTTTCTCTGCCTTTCTGTCTCTTTGTTTTACACACACAGACCCAAAAGTAATGACTCAAGTTTCTAAAGGATAAATTAGAAGGACTACTTTTTATTTGATTAGTCTTGGTCCTCTGTGTCAACTACACACAATCACAAACACAGAAACACATCCCCTTACAAACAATTGTTCACTCCACTCTCTTCTTCCTCCAAACACATGTTCTGCCCCTGACAAATTCCTACTCATCCCTCCCACTGCACACACCTGCAACACACTAATAAACACACGCACATTGGATGTTGTTTGGATTCATCATATTAGAAAAAACACCCCCTCCCATGGTGCAAAGTGTCAGGTCACTGGTGCATTGCAAACTCCTGTATGTCCTCCTAAACTGCAACCTCTACTCCCGGAGGGTTTGCTCCTCACATTCATAACACTCTGCCCCATGCCAGGTGGCTGTCTCCACAAGTCCTCTTTCCCATAAATCAGACTGTCTTTGACTTGATCAATAACAAGTCAATTAGTACCCGCAGAGAGATGAGGGTCTCAGGGGGTCACTGCTTGTTTATCAGGCAGACATCTGCAGCTCTGTCCCTGTCTGCCACGGAGCTAGGTGTGTCGTTTACCTTGGAAACATGTGGCTACTTGGCTATCATAAATCTAAATATCACCTATAAATAGGCTGGGATCATCTTGCTACAATCTATCATTTGCTTGTTCTTGGATATATAATGTATCAAACATTGTGCACTCCAAATCTCCCAGCTGTGTCTGATGGATTTGAATAGGCCAATAAAACAGCACTTTTCATCCCACTAACTTTTCTGTGAATTTGCATTTCAGCATTTCTTGTGATTAAGTACGCTTGTCATAAAGAAGCAAACAAATCTACCTCCGCTGTCTAAGGACACACTTGACCACATGCACCATCTAAGCTGCAAAGCCTGCCACTATTCATCCTGCTCACATGTTAAGCTGACAAGAGTGGAAGAGACCCAACTGTTGTTTGGTGCCCACTGACTGTGTATCTAATGACTTAGCCTGCAAATCCAATGCAACAGCAACAGGCTCCTGTGGCGAATACACCGGATTAATCCCCTGGATAATTACAAACAAGAATGATCTTGGGCAAATACTCCCCGTACCTACTGAGACATTACATCAGACGATTCTGTCTAATTAAAACTCATTCAGACTGGTGACGGAGAGAAAGCATTCAGAGAAATAAATGACATTTGCTGACGTTATGAAGAGAGAAGATCTGCAGATAGAAACTCACAGGGGTGGACCAAAAGACGAGTAACACAATATACACACAATGCACATGCCTTGGAATAAAAAGAACATACATTTCAATACTTTATTTGACCTATACATCAACAATTCAGGTATGACCTCTGCTTTGGAAACTCACTTATCAAAATGATCATTTGAAGATCAACTCTTCACTCTCTAACAGCTAACTCTGCTAATTGGTATTCACCCTAATGTGACTCATTCGTATCGCTGCGTTTGTCATTTTGATTCACAGCAGTCACCCCCTGAATTGCTGGTGCATCAGTCGCAAACACTGAAAGATGTTGTGAAGTGGCAAGGGGGAAAAGTCTCAATGATGCAGTAATTAGAATGACAATCATAACAATGACAATCATTATCCTTGCCACAATTAATATGACTTTACATGTTTTGTTCATTGATTCAAGCTCTTTAAAAATCATCATTTAGTTTTCGTGTGATTCTCGTTTATCAAATATTGCCCAATTCACACCCTTACTACACACGTCTCTTTATACCTGCTGCCTCCACGTACACTATCCAACACGTACAGACTTAATAACTTCTCCTGTCAACAATTCACGCAACCTCTGTCTCTGATGTGACACGTATCACTGTAATTGTTTCGTCTTGATGTCAGCATCATTTGTAAACATTGGGTCTGACATTATAATGTTGTCATTTAAGATTTGAAGATCTCAAAACACACATTCTAAACGTAAGTAAAAGTACTAATACCACATTTGATATACACTGTTAAAATAGAAAAATTGTTAAACTACTACTAGTAGAAGTAGAAAGTGGAATGAAAACAAACAAGAATCTAAACGTTGTACTCAGGTAAAGTAATTGAGGTAATCTACTCAGCTACATTCACCACCATTTCATAATCGTTTGTTCAGATTCCTAATTTTTAAGTGTAATATTTTAGAAATATTTGTATTACAAGGTTTGTCAGACTTTGTATTTGCTTGTGGGATAAGAAAATAATTATATTATCTGTTGTGTCAGATTCACTCGAAGCTTTTTCCCGTTTAACAGTAACTCTTTCTTTCAGAGAGAGGCCACCTGGAGGAGGTGAGCCTGCAGATGGATATGAGAAAGGGGAGATAAAGTGTTCTCTTCTGAGGATTAGTGTGTTGTGGTAAAAAGTTGTTTGTTTGGGTTAGGCTGTTGGATTCTGTGCATACATGTGTTTGCACTTGTGCTTTGGGGTTGACCTTGTTTTCTTAGTTTTTTCTCAACTCAGCTGCCTGTATCAGGTGTCAGGAGTTGACTGTTGGGATCCTTTCAAAGGAAGGGTATAAATACAAGACACAAGGAGCCACACAGGATCTATCCCACTGTATGAAGCCGTCACTCCTGGTAACAGATGCTCCATGCTGTGGCAGACTCTAACGTAGACAGTATATGTACTGTAGTGTGTCAGGCCTGGCTCCAGGGCTTCCCTTGTGCACCCATGCAGAGAGGACCCCCAGGGGAGCAGACGCCAGCTGAGACTGAAAAACAAGGTAAGAGCCCAGCTGACACACTTGCATACAGGCTCAGCTGTTTGTCTCAAAGGAGAGTTCAGCATGTCAAGTACACAGAGAGCCAAGAAATGATGGAGTACTGCCAGATACTTTCAAGCCTTCCAGGGACAAAACATAGCAGGAATACGTAAAGATGGATAGACGGAAGATGCTAGGCTATGCACAGTATTCTGCAATGGTAAGATTGTTTTGACTGCTTTATTGTCTGAACTTGTAATGAAACCAATATAGTATTGGGGAGATGAAATAAGGGCTGTTGGTGCAGCAGTATCATTGATCTTACCTGTGCCACATCATAAGAGCATTTGGCTGTAGAAATATGACTGCTAAATTGAACAATGTTGTGTTTGTAATATTTTTTATTATGATCTTTATTCAATATGATGGTTTCTTATTTTCTTTTCCCTCCTGTTTGGTCAATAAATATGTATTATGAAATAAGTTTCCTGTTCCTCCAATCCCCCCCCCCCCCGCTTTTAAAATGCCAGTCAGAGGCTCCCGGGCTCCAATTCTCTCTCCAGCCAAGAACATGACTAATATAAATGATTGACAGCCTTGCAGGGATAAGGTTGCCCATTTAGCAAACTCGCTGTGTCAAAGAAATAAATTCACAATGGCTCCCTGAGCGATGGGATTGGAGATGAGAGAAATGAAGATTTTTGTGCTGTATCGATCCCCCAATGCTTGTCTCATGCATTTTACACAATATCTAAATGTCACTTATGCTATCACACAGTGCTCTAGGTAGAGGCTCACCACTCTCTGTTCAGTGGGATTTCAGGGTACTTGGTGTATGAATTCAAAACAAATCAAGAAAAGCTGTTAGACGGTGTCATGGGCTCAACTCTAAGAAGGCTCTGGGGATGTCTCAGCATCTGAACCTTTAAATCTTTTCTCTGGCATCTGCAGCCATGTGTCCCATGGACAGCTGGAATAATTTTCGTACATTTGGGATGCATCAAACTCTCCTCTCCTCCCCAGGGTCTAAGGTCTAAGTCTCATCATGATGGAGGAGAGTCTGGAGACAGATGGCCCCAGATCCTCCATGCCGGCTGAGCTCCACCATCCCCACTCCAAGTACTCTCAGTGGAAGTTTAAACTGTTTAGGCTCAAGTCAATGGAGAAGGCCCCTCTGCCCAGTGACTCTCAGCCTGAGAAAGGAGCCGTGTTAGGGATCTCACGTCCTGCAGCTCTGAATACAGAGTTAGATAATGACATATGCCCAGGGAGTGTCATGAAATTATGCCTAGGAGGAAAAAGCAAGGAAAATGTAGAGGGCCCTGGCTGGCGGGTGGACAAGAAGCTACAGGAAATGGACATCCACATGAACCACCTCAGGTAATAAAATGTCCCTTTCAATTAAACTTAAGTTAATTGAATTTAAACATATTGTACATGCATTTAGTTTAAAGGTTTTGACAGCTTTGTTTTCCCTCTATAAAAGGTGCTTGTGCCGTCTTTGCGGAACGGCCCTGAGAAAAGTCAAAGGACCGCTGCACGATGTTCATGGGGATCTGGATGAGGTCAGCAAAGGTTCCCTTCGTAAAATGGGCTGCAAGTTCACAAGCTGGCCAGGTGTACTTCTCAAAGTCTTCAAAGTGGATGTGACAGATGACACAGAATCTGTCCACCCTCTTTCCTTCTGCCATCGCTGCTGGGTGGTCGCCATACGAGGAGGGGGCTTCTGCAGCTTCTCTAGAACGAGAGTCCCCGAGTGGAAACCTCACTCTCACACCTGTCATCTTTGCTCACCCAGAAAACCATCATTCCAGCGGACTAGGAGGAAGAGGCGAAAAGCCATTCCCAGAGCCCAAAGTCTGGCAAAAAGAGCCAGGTGGGATAATGGAGACAGCATTGCTGTTGGTGAGAAGAGGGTTCTGAGACCATTTGGAGACCCTCATCATGGCCCTGTGCTCAAGGCATGGAGGAATCCCCGCATCCAGAGAGAGCAATGGGTCAGAAACATCACCCACTGCCAGAAAGACCACCTGAACACCAAGCTGATCTCTGAGAAGCTCCCTGTAGACTTCCTCTTTTCTTTCACCTGCCTGGTGTGTGACCACCTGCTCTCTGATCCAGTCCAGTCCCCCTGTGGGCACCTGTTCTGCCACAGCTGTATTATTAAATACATCCACGTTCTGGGGCCTCTCTGCCCAGCCTGCAACTTGACATGTGCCCCCAATGATCTGACCTCGCCTGCCAAAGCCTTCTTATCAGCCTTACACTCCCTGCCTCTGCTCTGCCCCTGTGGCAAGCAGGTAAGGGTTGACTCATTTAAAGCCCATTGTCAGAGCCATGAACAGGATGGAAAACAGCAGACATCCAAACTTGACAGCTACCTGCTCACCAATAAAGGGGGAAGACCCCGTCAGCACCTGCTATCGCTAACACGTCGGGCCCAGAAGCATCGGCTGAGGGATATGAAGAACCAGCTGAAGGCATTTGCAGATAAAGAGGAAGGTGGTGACCTGAAGTCTGTGTGCCAGACTCTGTTTCTGCTTGCACTGAGGTCTGGGAATGAACACCGACAGGCAGACGAGCTAGAGGCCATAATGCAAGGTAAGAGACTATTATAAGGCTTTTGTTTAATGAACACAAAAACTCTGCAGCCAAGACACAAACAAAAGAAAATTATGAAAAGTATTTTCTCTATAATATTTCCGCCTATCTCTAAGGAATACAGTCATTTCATAAATAACAATGAGTTATAAAAGTTCACTTTTGAAGAGGGAGAAACATTTTTCTGTGATATTTGATGCATTTCATTATTGTCCACTTTTGATTGAAGCGCCACGCTGTTTGACGCTCAATCCCTCCCTGCTTTTTTTCGTTCTCACTCTCTGCCTGCTTGTCCGTCAGTCTCTCAGTCTCACACTCCCTTTAATGCACAATAACAACTCTTGTGAAGGGGCTGTTAGAATCAAAACAACATCAGCAGCTCTTGTATCTGCAAATTACACAGACAGCACCATCCTTCTCTCAAGGGAATAGAAGCCAGCTGGTGTCTGTTTTCATCTACAGCCAATACATCACTTTTGCCAGCTTTCCTCATTCACCCTCTGTCCCCTTATAACATTTGGATATTAGGAAATATTGCATTTTCTAATCATGGGCTCGAAGGCTTTTGACAATGATACATTTACATTTGGTTGTTACATTTGTGATTTTCTCAGTCTTGTAGTATAAATGACTCGAAATGTGGGATATCAAATGAGGAAATGTTAGATACTCCAGTTCTTTTCAAAGCCGTATAAATTGGCTTCCACAGTTTGGTGTTAAATAATTCCAAATCTATTCCTCTTGCATATATATTTTTATTTATTTTACTTTGCCTCTTTCTGTCTCCCTCTGAAACTTTATCTTTTTCCCTTTTCTATCTTCACAGGCAGAGGGTTTGGGCTGCATCCTGCTGTGTGCTTGGCCATTCGGGTCAACACCTTCCTGAGCTGCAGCCAGTATCACAAGATGTACCGGACTGTCAAAGCCACCAGTGGCCGCCAGATCTTTCAGCCGCTGCACACCCTGCGAGCTGCAGAGAAGGAGCTTCTCCCTGGCTTCCTCGAGTTTGAATGGCAGCCAGCTCTCAAGAATGTGTCTACATCTTGCAATGTTGGCATTATTAATGGGCTCTCTGGATGGACTTCCTCGGTGGATGACTTCCCAGCTGACACCATCACTCGCCGGTTTCGCTACGATGTGGCTCTGGTGTCAGCATTAAAGGATCTGGAGGAGGACATCATGGAGGGTCTCAGAGAGGCTGGTATGGAAGACAGTGCTTGTACCTCAGGCTTCAGTGTCAAGATCAAAGAATCCTGTGATGGCATGGGCGATGTCAGTGAGAAACATGGCGGGGGACCAGCTGTCCCTGAGAAGGCTGTACGTTTTTCTTTTACTGTCATGTCTGTCTCTGTCAAGCCAGACAACGAGGAGAAGGAAGTTACCATTTTCACTGAGCCCAAGCCAAACTCAGAACTGTCATGTAAGCCCCTTTGCCTGATGTTTGTGGATGAGTCAGACCATGAGACACTCACAGCTATCCTGGGGCCTGTAGTTGCCGAGCGTAAGGCAATGAAGGGGAGCAGGCTCATCCTATCCTTGGGTGGACTAGCTCGCTCCTTCCAATTCCACTTCAGAGGTACAGGATACGATGAGAAGATGGTGCGTGAGATGGAGGGCCTTGAAGCCTCTGGGTCCACCTATGTCTGCACTCTCTGTGACTCCACCCGGGCAGAGGCCTCTGAAAACATGGTGCTACATTCGGTCACCCGCAGTCATGTAGAGAACTTGGATCGCTACGAGATATGGAGAACCAACCCATTTTCCGAGTCTGTAGACGAGCTGCGGGACAGAGTCAAAGGTGTCTCCGCCAAGCCGTTCATGGAGATGCACCCCACGCTGGATGCGCTACACTGTGACATTGGCAATGCCACAGAGTTCTACAAAATCTTCCAGGACGAGATCGGGGAGGTGTACAAAAAGGTCAACCCCAGTCGGGAGGAGCGGCGCAGCTGGAGGGCAGCCCTGGATAAACAGCTGAGGAAAAAGCTGAAGGTCAAACCGGTCATGAGGATGAATGGGAACTATGCCCGCAGGCTAATGACCCAGGAGGCTGTGGATGTGGTGTGTGAGCTGGTGCCCTCAGAGGAGCGGAGGGAAGCCCTGAGGGAGCTTATGAGTATCTACGTCCAGATGAAGCCCGTGTGGCGTGCCACCTGCCCTGCCAAGGAGTGCCCCGACCAGCTGTGCCGCTTCAGCTTTAACTCACAGCGCTTTGCAGACCTTCTCTCTTCTACCTTCAAATATAGATACAATGGAAAGATAACCAATTATTTGCACAAGACCCTGGCCCATGTGCCTGAAATCATAGAGAGAGATGAATCCATAGGAGCCTGGGCCAGCGAAGGGAACGAGTCGGCAAACAAACTGTTCAGGCGTTTCCGTAAAATGAATGCTCGTCAGTCAAAGGCCTTTGAGCTTGAGGACGTGTTGAAACATCACTGGCTGTACACTTCCAAATACTTGCAGAAGTTCATGGAAGCTCACAAGGACTCTTCCAAAGCTCTGCAAGCCACCATTGACCCAGTAGAGAGCCAGGATTATGAGGACATGTCTCTGGACATTCTTAAAGTTTGATTTTTTTCTTTCAATGTGAAACTCAAAATGTAATTGACTTCATGATAAGCAGATACTTTTTCAACTGCCTCTGTCAGTAAAACAACATGTACTTACTACACAAATTCTTTATTTGGAATGAAAAGGGAAAAGAGCTACTTGAAGCCAAGATTTTCTTAATATTTTCATATATTGTGATAGAAGTGTTTGAAAATGGAAATCAACATAAACTTTTATTTTTTATTTGATGTAACAATACAAATGATAAACAGTTTCTTGCATTCAAACATTCTCATTTCCCACTTAAATCTCCCGCCAATTTCTTTTTGAAGTGTTTTGTTTTAATAGTATTTTACTTTGTTGTTGTTGTATATCTTTTAGCTGTACGTTACCACAGTGCAATTATTAAACAGCAGAGAAGTAGCACAGGTTCATTCTTTCTTGCTCTTAGCAGGAAAGCTCTTTTTTAGCTTCACCATCTGTGAAATATGGCACAGTTTATTGTATTGCAAGGATATGACACATTTATGAATTTATATGGAGAGGATATTTATGGAAACAGATGAAAGTGCTGTAAGTCATGGAGGGAAATTGTGTCAAGAAGACCACATTTGTGGCCACTGTATTAATATATCATTTGAGCTGGAACAAAATGCAATCACAGAGACCCAAATGTTCTTTGTTTCATGAGTGCCCCCTGAAAAAGATTACTTTAGTGCTTTATCGTCGGATCCCTAAGGGGTAGAATAGATGCCAGGTCACTTTGAACCAATTTTGATCTCTTAGATCTCTTAGCACAGTGGAGGATGGATGATGCTTATTCCAATTATTCACCTAAAATAAAGCATATACTGACCTTTTTGTTGATATAATAAAAATACAGTATGGTCCATTACAAAGCCTAATACCACATGGAGTTTCCAGCAGGTGGGGATTTTTCTTAAGTTCTGTATAAATCCTGGCTTTTTTTCTCTGCCGATATTTCTTCATTGCCAAGGTTGACAGAGGAGAAGGATGAGCGGGAGCTAGAAAGACTCTATGTAAACTGATTTGTTGGCAACTTTATTTGTCTGATTGATTGATTATGTTATCTTGTTTGTGCTCTCACAATTTTGAATTTTGACAGGCAATTTGTTTTCTTATTTGATTGAATGCTTGATTTTATTTGACTGTCATAAGGTTTAACCATGTGACAGCTGTGAATATTCACATTTCATTCCATAGTTGTCATCTCCCCACAATACCATCCTGTTTCAGATTGCAACATGTCTCATATTTGTTTTTTTGCAATAATTTATTGCATTTCCAAAGTAATGGATGATGGATGTTTCACGGATTTCCACTTGTTACCTTTAAACCGTCTATTTTCAAATACTTCGTTTCTCCATATTACACTAAATATCAGATATACTGTTTACAGGAGTTGAGGATAACTTTCAGTGGTGATTTATTGAGCATGTTGTATTATACTGAAGTTCCACCTTGTATTACCTTTTTACTCGTTTAACTGCTGCATTTTCACTGAAGCAGACAACTCTTACTTTTGTGTAATTGTTCCAAAGAATGAATAAATAAAGACAACATCTGACTTGAACTTCTTGAACTTATTTTCTTATCAAACTATATATTTAATTTTGTGTTTTATTTAAGAATTCAGTTGCATTTAATCCGTGAAGTTTCCATTTTTAATGTATACAATATAAAAAGCTTAATGCTTATAAGATTATGATTTCCTGTCAAACTAAAACATTGTTTGCACCCTCTAAAATATAATGTAATATTATATATATATATATTAGGGCTGTCAAACGATTACAATTTTTAATCAGATTAATCACAGCTTTAAAATTAATTAATCATGATTAATCACCATTCGAACTATGTCCAAAATATGCCATTTATTTATGTATATTTTTGTGGGAATGGAAAGATAAATGAAAGAAGGCGGATATATCCATTTAACATACAGTATCTATGTTTATTAAAACATTTTTCTGCGTGTCAAAATGAAAGACAACCCACACACCTATCAATCATCAAACCGTGGGGTCTTAATTCATTACGTGTTGATTTCTATCAACGGGGGAGTACTTCAGGAAAGTCGACAGAGGGGGGGGGGGGGGCGGCGGCGGCTAGTGGAGTACTTCGTGACCACAGAGTGTGAACGTTGTGATCAGCTGTTTTAGCGCAGTTCTCCTGTGAAGGGGGGGGGAGTCTCCCTCCGCAGCCAGTTGGCGTAGTTTTGGCACAATTCCGTTGTACAGACCGACGTTAACAGCAGCCCTGTCTGTGCACACGGTGATCTAACCGCCTTCTGGAAAAGCTTCACAAGTACGTCGGTACGCAAATGCGCTTTGTGACACAAGTGACGGTACGCATTTCAGATTACGCACATAACCTGCGTACCAGTTATGTGCACCCCGTACTACAGCAAAAGTATTCTCCGTCGGGACTTCCTGCAACAACACCACGCCGTTATCAAAGATGTTCTATTGAGAAGACGATCACTACGTGACAAAAGTTTTCAAAACCGTGGCTGCTGAAATCAATCTTACTAACTGCTGTCTGTGCAATTTACTCCGCGCGAGTTGGCAGACTTTATTTTGCTTACTTTAACATCATTTTTCATGGTGGGGCTAAGCCATTTCTTGGTATGGGTGTAGCCTACCCCAGCCATACCCTGGCGCTGCCACTGGTGGCACGTATGGGGCGGGCCATTCTGCACATGCGTTAAATGCGTTAAATATTTTAACGCAATTAATTCAAAAAATTAATTACCGCCGTTAACGCGATAATTTTGACAGCACTAATATATATATATATATATATATATGTAAAATATTTCAATTGAAAGGCATTTCATTGTTTCATTCAGGTTGCCCTATTATTTGATGTTATTACAGATGTAACTAGCAGTATAGCAGGTATTTATCAATACAAATGTATTTAATCATAATACCAATTTATTAACATCTGGCCCAGGGATACAGTGCACCTTATAAATATGCAAACAAAAACACTGATACATCAAAAATGTTGTGTGATATAAAACAATTCAGAAAAACACATTAGAATGAAACAGGTATGAAGACAGAATTTGAAAACATTTGTTTATTAAATTGAATACAGATCAGCATATTGGGTATTTTCAGTAATCATAAAATAATTGTGAAAATAATTCAGTTCCATTTGCCATTTGGCCATGGAAGGAATTGTTAGGAATCAAAAGACAAAGACATAAATGTACTATAAACTGTGACACAGCTAAAACATCAAACTGGAAACATTGTAGACAGACTTGCTAAAATATTCTGTATTTTTGTCAAACATTGTGAAATTCAGTTTAACTTATACAGCTACTTGGCAGGAAATATCAGGTGTCAATTGTATTGTTTAATTTTTTGAAAAAATGATTCAGATTGAGGTCGGATCAGCATAATGATTTACTGATAATAAACTAAAATCATCCTAAACAACATACAATTCCTTATAGTGACCCTCTACACACATTATACAAAGTATTTAACTCAATTAAAAAGCCTTCTGAAAAAGCTTTTTTTGGCAGGGGACATCTTGATGGTTGGAGGAGTTTTCCTGTCCTTAACCTTCAAGGGGGTGCGCTTCAGAGGCGTGACCTGCCGAGGTGGGGTCATCTCCTGGAAGGGCAGGCCTCCGTGGTCCATGCAGAAATACTTTTTGCTGCCCTCAGAAAGCCTGAGCAGCAGCAGCTCAGACAGCTCCATACACTGGGCATGGACCCAGTGCCCCCCCTCCCCTCTGGAGCAGAAGATCATGGCAGGCCGGAAGAGCTCAGTGGAGTAATATGGCTCCCACGTGTTGGGGTTCAGCTGACAGCTAAGGCAGCATTTCATCCAGTAGCCTGTTTGTGATTCGTCCTCCTCATCCTCCTCATTGTAATTACCCTCTTCTCCATCAATGTCCTCCAGTTCGTGAGGCTCACGGCCGAAGTAGAGCTCTTCAGAGTCTTCAAGAGGAGTGGAGTTGTCGTAATCTGTTGACTCCTGGCTGCAGCCCTGGGCTTCTTCGTCATCTTTTGATTCCCCCTCTGTCTGGAAGCTCACATGATAGAAATAATGCCCATCTGCTTGGGATGGCCTTCCCTCAGTAGGTACAGCAAGTATGATGGTTCCTTCCCCAGCACTGCCGCCAAACCAAGTGCGACTTTGCGTGATATCTTGGGTCCACTTAGGTGATTCTAAGGCCTCGAAGGTGATCCCTTTCTCATTCAGAATCACAGTGCTGCACTCCATCCTCTTCTGAGAGTCTGACTGATACCCCCCTAAGATGATATATCTAGTAGGACCAGTACGGCTGATTATGGCACTTGAGATGGATATGCCAGTTTCAATGGTCTCACAGGAAAGCAAGGGGCTGCCTTGCAAAAGCTCGACACGCAGGCGGAAGAGTCGAGGGGGGCGGGAGTCGGAAGAGAGCGAGTGACCGCCGAGGAAGTAGACACAGTCCTCTCTGGCAACGGCTAAATGGAAAGACTGTCCGTCGCTAAGCTCAGGTAAAGTATGGGCAGAGGAGCAACCAAACTCCATGTCAAACAGGAACACCTGAGGAGGACAGTCGACGACGCTGTTCCAGTTCTCTGTGGTGCGCTCTCCTGCTGGCATGTAGGATCTACCCCCAAACAACACACAAGCTGTCTTCCCGTGGCTTTGAACCATGCTCATTGTGTGGCCATATCGGGCCCCGGGTACTTCTCCCACCAGTTCCTTCTCTTTGCAGCACAGGGTCAGTTTACGATTGCAGCCACGGCTATCCATGGTCAGCAGGTACAGGCTCGAGGAGATCTCATTATTTGGGGTGCGGCCACCGTGGATGAGATAACTCTCTGGAAGCCCATCATAGGGGTCGAGGCGGCAAACAGCAGGGCAGCGCAGTGGTGGAAGGTAGCATGAGTCATTGGAGAAAGAGATGGCCCTCAACTTCATCTCACCAAGTTTAAACCGGACGCCAAACACTCCCGTAGGACACGAGCGCTTGGGCCAGCCTTTCTGGCCAAACAGGAGGACTTCACCATCCAGCTTCAGAAGAGAGAAGCCCTGCTGCAGGAGGCCTGCACATTTCACTGGAGTTAATGGTTGTAGGGTCATCTTCCGGCAGCTGCCAGCATCAAAACAGCACACAAACACAGAAACACAACAATAAGTCAGTCAGCTGTTAATTGTTTTCATTCAGGGGATTTCAATTTGACTTCCTGTTTATTACAGTAACACCTGGAGAAACATGATCCACATAATCCAGAGGCTGAAAATATATAAACAGGGTTACACAGTCATTCATCTAACTTTGTAGACTACAGTTACACAGAACAATTACATTTAGGAAAGATGTGACATGTTTACTCAGGAACGAACCTCAATGATGAAACTACTAAAAGTACTTTTAATAACTAAGAACCTGAATAACAATAACAAGAGCAAGTATAACTTTTATTTATTTTACATTTTAAATGTTATATTTAAAACTCTACAATGTAAACTGGCCTTTTCTAGGACACATTTGTTAGGGTTTGGTGATGGCAAAGCACAACAAGTCATGGCACCCCTACCAACCCTAACAATGTACAGCATGTTAAGTCACTGCTGCTGTTACTAGAGCTGTGTGTATGCTGTTACGGGACAACGTAGGGTTGCTTCTTAAAATCCTAGAGTCAAACATCAGCATCACCTTGTAATTAAACACTCAAAAATCTACCTCTTCATGGAGTCAAGTTATTATTTTCAAGCACAAACACTATTTGAACTTTGTATGTTTGAAACAGAATATTACAGGGTGTATTTGAATGCAGCATGGGACCCAAACAAACACTCAGAAAACTGTGCATTAGCTATTGGTACAATGTATTCTACCTTTCAATGATGAATAATAAAAAAAGAATGACTGTATTTGTTTTCCAATTGATAAGATTATATATTTTTTAATTATAATGATTAGTTTATTCTGAGGGCAGTCTTGGATAATCGTCTTTGTTTTCCTTGCTCACTTCAACTGACACATACTATACAACACATTAATGTCATCAGCAACTTTAACAGCAATATAAATAAATACTGCTGTGGTCACTATCAGTCACTTTGACGAAGACAATGTTTGATTTTATATTAGCATAGCAGGATGGTTGCATAGACTTTCTATAGAATAAGTAGCACAATGTAGGTTTTAATTGATTTATAATAATAATTGTTAGTTTGCTTACCTTAATGCCAGGGTCAGGATGCCGTGCTTGAGCCCACTTCAGTGTGAATCTTACAATCACAAAGGTTAACCTAACGGCATTTTTATGCAGCCAAACTTTGATAAAGGCAGACAGCGAGAGAGTTTGTGAAGCTTCGTTGCCTCACAAACACTTCCAGATCTTGAGGTTAACAGTCTGTGACTGTTGCTCTCTGGCAGGTGTGCTGCCTGAATGCATTTAGTGTATCACTTCAAAGATCACGGGCTATCAGCTATACTAAAGAAGGTACAACAGGGTCAAGTCCGTTGAACAATTTCAACCTTTATGATACATTGGGAATTTGCAGTGTATGTTTTGTTACTTCAGTAGTTCCCAAAGAAAAAGGG